TTATTTTAGGTAGATTTTTTTTTTTTTTCAACATAATCTCTTAAGCTCTATACACTTTTCCAAGCATTTCTCCAACTTTTTTAAGCCATCTAAAAAGTAATATTTCGGAAGGTCCTCAAAATAGGCATCTGTTTGGGCGATGACCATCTTGTTTGATGTGAATCGTTGTCCGCCAAGCCATTTTTTTAAGTTTGGAAATAAAAAAAAGTCACTGGGGGCCGAATATGGTGGATGTGATAATAATTCAAACTTTAATTCCGTGATTTTGGCCATCAAAACTGCACAGGTGTGCACCTGTGCATTGTCTTCATGGAAGAGGATCTTTTTCTTTTTCAAATGAGGACTTTTTCCTTGATTTCTTTGCTCAACCAGTGCAATAATGATGCATAATACTCTCCAGTTATTGCTTTTCCTTTTTCCAAGTAATCAGTGTAGATGATTCCGCGTGTATCCCAAAAAACTGGCCATCACCTTCCCGGCTGATTTCACTGTCTTCGCCTTCTTTGGAGCCCTTTCACCTTCAAAAACCCACTGTTTTGACTGGTTTTGGTCTCTGGAGTATAATAGTGTATCCATGTTTCGTCCACAATTATGTATCGACACAAAAACTCGTCAGGATTGCGACGAAAAAGTGCGAAAATAGCCTCAGAGTCGACCACACGATTACATTTATTCTCCACTGACTTGTGAGAGCAATCGCGGCACCCATCTTGCCAAGATTTTTTTCACACCCAATTTTTCGTACAAAATTGAAAATACTGTACCTTGTGATATGCCTGTGGCCTCAACTATTTCATGCACTTTGATTCATCAATCACTCAAAACCATATCGTGGATTTTGTCAATCATTTCGGGAGTAGTCACTTCCACTGGACGTCCCGAACGACGCTCATCTTTTGTGGATGTACGACCACATTTGAACTCATTTACCCAATTGTAAACAGTTGCAAACACAGGAGCAGATGTGCCATGAACTTCATCCAACTCAGCTTTGATCTCTTTTGGTGTTAAGCATTTTAAATATAAGTGTTTAATCACCACTCAAAACTCACTTTTTTCCATTTTTCTAAATAAACAAAAGTTTCTTGCTGCAATCCACAATAAAAATTAAACCATGTGATGGATATGACTGAGACTTCCACAACTATCTAGTGAGACATGATGCTTACAAAAAACGTGCCATTTTTGAGGCTACGAGCACCATCTATTTTCTAAGAACTTATTGAACGACCCTTGTATATTTATGGTACAAAAATGTAGTTATTTCTGAAGTTTAACTATTATGCTGTTCATAATAATCACAATGAATTTAGTTAAATTACTTCCTATTGTGTGGCAAACCACATTGCTATAAAATTAAACAGTAAGTAAGCAACATTAGATATATCAAAATCATAATTCTGACCAAAACAACATCAAAATTTCTAGGTAGCAAGATTATATTTCCAAAGTGACAGAAAATTAATGGTGGTACAGTACATCTGGTTCTGTTCAAGATCTGTATCTAATGAGAAAGCTTTAGTATCCTATGAAGAGTTTAAACTTCCTAGTTAACCTGGTGTAATTTAATTAAACAACTTTGTGATATTTTATACTACTTCAGATGAACTAATTCTGTTAAAAATACAACTGTTAAACTTGTTTAACAATTTATACTAGAAAAGAAAACGAGCAATCTTAAACTCATTTAACTATCACAAGTTTAACCAGTTTCACAGAGGAGTTGCAAGTAACAAATAGGATCTAACACGTACAGTGTGAGATTAGCAGCAGGCCACTGGGCTCATCCCAAATGACCACTTACTCTGCAACAGGTTGGTAAAACCCGTTCTCGGCTTGTCGGATGGCTAGGAGGGCAAAAAATTGAGTAAGGAGTGCGTTGGTAAGTCAGCAGGTGTCCTTCAGAGACAGGAGACAGGTTTAAAAACTAAACAAGCATTTATTTATATAACTAAGCTAGGATACATAGGTTAAATGCAATTAAATAAGTTCACTATACAAAAGGGACGCTCTAATAGCTTTACCTGCTAGTCTGAGAGTTCACAAAGCTCTAAAAGTACAAATACCTCTATGTGGATATGTCTAATATGCGTTTGTTGAATAGGTTCGTTAAAGGCGATGGAAGTTGAAATGGCTGTGGTTGGTCATATGTCCTTTCGGTCCGGAGTATGGAGACAAATATGGCACATCTAACAAGTATAACTTCCGAGGGATCGCGCAGAGCTTCCGGGGACTCGAGCTTTTATATGTTATTCGTGGGAAATGAGTCACGTGATCGACTTCAGTTGACACTTACGGTGCATTCTGATCAACTAAGTGTCAACTTTCCCACCTTAATGTGAAAACAATCGGGTGACAGATATACTTCTCACCAAGAGTGGGTTTTTCCTTGGAGTTATTTACAAAGATTTTTCCAACATCGGTGTAAAAATCACGGATTTCACATACAGTAGTAATTTGTATTCAAACAACTCTAAATTTGAATGTTTCAGAGTTCAAACTGTGCATGCACTGAAAAATATGGTCAAACCATAAATGCAAGTTACCTCTCACTCACTGCATCATTTATGGTTAGAACTAAGGCAGTATCTGATCGTCTTCGAACCTCTAACTTTCGATCTTGATTAATGAAAACATTCTCGGCAAATACTTTTGAAATGGGTATTTTTTAGGGTCAAGGAATAAATTAATTCACTTTCCATTATTTCTTATGGAAAAAATTGCTTCGGACTTTGAACGACCTCCTGAAATGAATTAAGTTTGAAGTAAAAGGTACCACTGTATTTCTTTTCAAGAATTGAAATCCCAAGACCACCACCACTGTATGGTAAGAGCAATGTACAGTAACTATGTGGCTACCGTTCTGCAGAAATTCTGCTTGTCTAAACTGGACCTAAGATGAAGACAGGTTTGCTATTCTATGGAACTTGGCTTCAGATACATTTGGCTCTTCAGAAATTGTTAAATCCCATTTGTTACTTGCTGCTCTTCTGTAAAACTTATTAAATTTGTGAATCATTCATACTGACTTCAAACCTCAAATGTATATCCTTTTCTCAACCTCCATAATAAATATTTCAATATCTATATTTTCTATGTCCAGATCCATCTACATCAGGGCTGCCAAATTCATTTTGGAGGCAGGCTATAATTTCAATTACATGTCAGCCGGCCACCTAGTGAATCACACTTGATTACACTCATGATTTATTATAAATGGATAAGTATTTGAATCAAACAAAGCTTTAAGTTTCACATGTTTCAATAATACAGTAATACCTCGACTTACGCTACCCCGGAGTTACGCGATTTTCAAATCTCGTCAATTCGTCTTTTGTTTGAACGCCACGCAACTCTTAATTACTCACTCCCCCCCCACACTATTGTTTAGCTTACATGTTTGGACGTGCCGTGCGGAATCGATGCATAGCTACAATTTATTTTGTGTTATTTATTTCTGTTTGTTATATCTACTGATACTTGAGAGACTCTATGTGGTGATTTCTTGTAACCGTGAACGAATCAAAAGGCGAGATAAGGTTAATGAGAACATTTATTAGCTTACATACATCAGATTTGGATTTTATACAAACTGCGAAAATATACCCCGACTTACGCGAATTCGACTTACGCGGTTATCGCTTGGTCCCACCTATCATGTAAGTTCGGGGTATTACTGTACCTAATAAAAAATACATCAATGAGACCTATGAAGGGGCTTATTAGCTAATAATTTTTCAATATTTGGTGACAAGAATTTAATTTTAATACATAAAAGTTGACTCAAAACTAATAGAACAAGTGTAATAAATGCGTAGGTTAGATATTAACAGCAGTGTGACAGTGACTCAAGTCATAGTTCTTTCCGTGTTCGACCAATCACGTGGCAGTTGGCATTATTGGTAGAATGACATCGCGCATGGTTACAGCCGACCGCTACTGTGGGCGGGCAAATTCAAATGCGTTGGCGGGCCTGGGTTTGGACAGCCTTGGTCTACATCATGTTGTGAATCTTTCTAGAACAAATTAAGCAGCTATACAAATTAATACACTAGCTATGTTATCTCCCACAAGACTGCCACTTCTGCTTGTGAATTATTCAATACAATACAATACAGTACAATATCTTGCAGCCAACCTGTGACTGCCACGCAGCATCCATTCCACCATGGGAATGCAGTTGGCAAGTATGAAGTTATGTGGCTCCAGACTTTCCCTCTAATGTGAATTATTACATTTAAATTAGTATGCCACATCATTTAGTGCAGCTGCTGCTTTGCAGAAATCCACTCATCTGAATAGAGCACGGGTTCCCAACCTATGGGTCGCGACCCAGAAGGGGGTCGTGACGNATTTCGACTGTTATGTTCGAATTTAATTCGAATATTGATTCAATTATAGAATGATTGTAAACATTCCAGAAACGTTGAAAATAGTTCGTTTGACTGGACGTGAACAGGAGACATTCAGAAATAGAAACGGGGGACCTAATTCTTGCATTCTGTGAAAACGGGTAAGATTGGCTATAATGTTATTATGTTAATCTTCACTATCATTACTTTTTGCCCAGCGAAGCGGGTCCTTGCAGCTAGTATATAGATAATAGGCATTCCAGATTGTATAGGGTCTGATTACTTTAAAATCCCTGTCAATAGGTGTAGTATTTCAAAACAATACTAATACTTCTACTGCTAAAATATTCTGTTCAACACCTTTATTAACACATTTCTGTATGCAATGAAACAAATATTAAATTACCTACAAATAGGATTGTGTATGGCTTAGCAGTCACTCAACCAACCGTGTAAAATGATGGTGAGCAAATATTTCAGATAAATTTTGATTTTGTGTAAATTTATTTGACTTTTTTCTCTTTTCAGATAAAGGATTTCAGAAAACACAAATTTGGTTTCGTTTCAAAGAAGGCTATAGCAACGCAGTTCGTAAAACTGTCCGAATTCAAGAGCTCATGTAAATATTGTAAAAGACTAGAAACAGTGTTAGTTTTGCACCACGATGATTTATTTATTCTTGTATAAACTACATAAATTTTTATATACAGAATTTGCACTATATATGAAATAAATAGTATCTTGTAAAGAATGGTCCAACTTATTTTTTGCGAGATCCTCCTCCCGCTAAAATTGTGGCAATTCTAATGAAAATATTGATTGTATCCAAATAGATAGAAATGGACCTGAAAAAAAAAATTTTTTAAATTAGTTTTTTGGTATTATGAATTTAAGTGTTACTAGATATATAGAAAACCATGCTCAGGTTGGACATAATTCTTTACAAGTAATCCATCTTGAACTGAAATTAAGAAGGAACTTTTACCTGGACATAAAGAAACAATTCACATCAATGAATTTGTTAAGCTAAGGTAAACCAACAAAATTACATTGAGTTTCCAAATGCTGAAGATCCCATTTTGTTTGATGTAAAAAAAAAAACAATTCTTTTTCCATTAGTATGAATTAATCAGTGCAAACTCAAACCAGAAGATAATTTTCACTCTCATGGAAAATCTCCCCTAGTAGTACATATACTGAAATAGAAGTGAACAAATGGATAGTTCCCTACTCACTTGTGCTTTCAAAAATAATCCAATAGACATGCTATATCATTACTAGTGCATGGAGTCTAAAGTGTTACATAGCATTTTCACAGTGTATTCTATTTTATATTCTAACCTATATAAATTTATTAGCCAACATGGAGGAAAAAAAATTATTATTACAGGTTATACTATCAAAAGTTGCATTATAAAGCAAAATAGTACCTTTTCTAGAAATGTCCCCCTTAAACATTTAAAAAAATTCTGCACCTCAAATATTGCATGATTTCAGTACTAGACTATATACTTTGAGATGTTTAATGTACAGCTTAACTTAACAATTTCACTTATTCTAAAGGAAGTTTAGAGGGAACCACATCATTCCAGATTTTCTTCATATAGTCATATGTTTGTCCTATCTTAAATTAAGGACACTAGTATCAGCAGTCCAGGAGGAACTTCTATAAAGGAAATGTAAATTTCTGCTTCTGCTTTGTAAAAGCTCCTATCTTTGCCAAACAAACAAGACATTAAGCAGCATGTCAATATGTTCTAATCCTTTAATTTTATTTCACCATAGATAACAAAAAAACAATAATTTGGTAGGCCTTACACTAAAATTAGATTAAATTATGAAGTAACAAGCACCTGAAAAATGGAAAGAGTAATAATTTACCAAATATAGTCCCTGCTTTTATATGTACTGTACAATATCAAACAATCCTTTCCCCATATATGGTTACACTGATCAGAAGTTTCAAGCAACAAGATTTTCATCAATGAAACATGACAGAGCAAATAGCTCAAAACCTTCTCATCTAAATTTCTTATTGATAATTTAGTAAGTGTCAAACAAGAAAGGATTTCAGATGGTTGATCTGCATATCTGTGTCCAAGTTTGAACCATCACCCCCCACTTACAGAATAGACTGAACCAAATGGTTAATTAAAAGCAAAGGAGAAAGCCAGAAGCCTGTAGTATTGGCACACTCAAAACTATGTGATGTGATGTGATGTGATGTGTTGTGTGCATCATGGCTGCAAAGGGGAATCGGTTTTGGGAGAGCTATGTAGTTGCACTTTTCCATGCGAAATATTCAGTGTCTCAAATTCAAAAACAGTGCAAAGAACATGGATGCACGTTGAGTTACATGACTATCAATAACATAATTAATTAGCATAAATACCAGAGGTGCCAGCAATTCAATCACCCACGAACGGGACTCACTGCAATGCTACCACCTGTATCTCAGAGGTTGCATCAAATGGCCTTTCAGGAAAATTCCCCTATGCAATGTGTGATGGCCACACGACTGCACATGGCACAGTCAACTGTGAACATACCCTGCATGAGAAGTTAAATCTCCGGAAGGTCTTTAAAAATCATGGACATTCTCTCAAGCTGATAGACCTCACTTAGGTAAAGACCAACAGCAGATACCTCTACAAACACCATTTATCTGGGAAAAAGTGGAAGTGTGTGGTCATGCCGGATGAGGCATGGGTATACCTATCAGACTGTGGCAAAATTCAAGTCCTGACATACACCTCATGCGATGCAAAATCCTGTCCCCAGTTCATCCGTCATTGCAAAGCAACTTTCCCAAAGGAATTTTTGGTTATCGTGGGATATTACTATCAAGGCAAGTTAACTATTCATCAGATCCCTAAAACTGGTAAAATCAATTCAGCCTTTTTTCAGCAACATATCCTCACCCCAATTTGCCTAATTTGTATGGAAATGCCATCAATCAATCAAGTCTGGGTGCATATGGATAAGGTTTCGTCACATATGTCTCATTCTACCCAAAGCTCTGCAGCAGATGGCACAAGACACTGGTATTCAGGCTGTTCCATTTCACGATATACCAGTAAAATAACCAGATGCAAGTCCTATGGATTTCTGCAGGTTTGAACTACTGAAAAGGGCACCTTCCTCTCATTGCATCACCACTCTTTGGGGCCTGTGGAAAGCCCATAAGGAGGAATGGCAGAGGATTGCACTTCCTGTACTTTGTGGTAGTCTCTTACAATGGAAGCTAACGTGCAGGACTATTGCCAAGACACATGGTGCTCACATTGAGGCCAACCGATGGTGGTCTCATGGATTTGTATAAAGTAGGCACTAGTTCAAACTTGGACACACATGCAGATCGACCTTCTGTACCATATTACAAGAACCATTGTTCTGCAATAGTATTCATACATATACTGTACGCCTCTATGCTCATTAACCTTCCTTGTTTTTAGGTGAGACAAACTTGTAATGAGAAAGTCTTCAATTTTTGGTGAGTTTAGAAATGTCAAGGGTTTACATAATCACTGATATCACAAATGACTGGCAAGTGAAAACAGTACATAGATAGTACTGTATGACTTTTAAAAGAGATAAAACAGCCTTTTGAGATTTTTCTTCATCCTATCTTTTGTACAGTGAGCAGAAGAGGCTTTTAATAAAAAAAATATACAAGTTAACTGGGAACAGATGTATATTATTATACATTAAAATAAGGATAGTGGAAGAGCTGAGTATCTACTTCCACATAAAAGCATCTTATAAATAAACAAAAAGAAGGATTAGATTCCTGGATTTGGACGATATCACAAGCAAAGAGCTAATGACCCTACCACCCAAGTGTAAAGAAAGGAATTTAAAATTCTTCATTTTATATTCGATCTGCAAATGGATATAGGCAATATCTGAAAACAGTTACCAAAATATTTAAACCAACCTCTAAAAATGGTAGTATAATGAAACTTTTGCACTAATTATCATTATTGTGCTTAATGACAGAAATCTGTTTCAACTTTATCAAGTTCACTCAAATATACTTTTTTGAAAAGATAAAAACTTAGTAGACATAAGGTATATCATTAATGTAAGCATGTGTGAACAAAATTAAATCCATTGTAAAAACTATCACAACTAAAATTACAGAATGTTAGTTTCAGTATCATACAAGCTATTCTAAAATATTTCTTGACTTATTTGGAAAAAAAAACCTCTTGTTAAACTTTACAAATTTTTACTTACGCATTAATCGGATCAAAAGGTTTCATTCCGTACATCGGATACATCTCGGCTTTCTTAATGATTCTTTGAGTGTCAAATAGCAAAAATCCGCTGAAGAGAAGCAATCCTCCGTAAAGACTAATAGAATAGATTCCCGCTCCCAGAGCAGTTGTTGGAGGAAGGAACATTGAACCTTTAAAAGAACAAACCTTTAAGTCTAGAATTCACATACATTTACAAGAAATAAACATTTATAATTACCTAACGATGCTGCAAACACAACTCCTAAACCAATTGCTAAGGGACCACCCATGTTTAAAAATTTTTCACTTGGTGCACAAACTGCAACAGTAGATAATCCTGAAAATAATATGATATAAGATCTAAAATATATGCACAATATGATACTTTCTTAGATAACAGATCATTAATTTCTTGCTTATACTTACCACCAACAATACCAGCAGTGTACCATGCTGCTCTAATTAACAGAGGACCTCCCAACAGACAAAGTGGTGCAATTACTGCTCCCATAATACCACTATGAGCAGCCCAGGCTAACTGTTTAACTCCCAGACCTTCAGAATAGGGTATTGATCGAACAATTATTCCACTCCCAATCATTGCAGCAATTGAAGCACCAATTGCCTAGAAAGAATACAATAGCATGTATATGTATCCCAAAAGTGATAAATTACATTAATTAATGATATTACCAGCCAGGAATTGCTTGCAACCAATCTGAAGAGGACAGGAGAACGAAAAACAGCAGCAGCAGATGCAGCAGTTAAGGCAATGCTTCCACCAAAGTACATGTACGTGTCTCGAATACGTTCCTTTACATAAGACGGCCATAAACTAGCAAATAAAAAAATTATTTCATAATAAATAATCAGTTGTTTTTGTCGACAGAGATATGTTCACTTACACAGATTGATCTATAGCTCCAGGTTGATTAGATAGTCCAAGACCATAGTAACAAAGTGCTCCTAATCCAAATACTGATGCTCCGGCAACAACTCCTTTTCCAAGATCGAAAGCTGCAGAAAGTAAGTTTCCTTTTAATAAAAAAAAAAAGGGCAAAAATTTAACAAACTATGATGAAATTTACCAGTATCACCAGCTGGTTGCAGTAGGGTTTCTTTCATAGTTCTTCGTCGGACTCCAATACCAGCCCTCCTGAATGCCGATCTCGAGCTGTCTGCCAGACATTGCGTTCGGATTACAAACGGAGAGACTTTGCTCAAAAGTGGTTTACCGACAGATTTTAGTGAAATTTGGGTCGCCGGACTGCTCAGAATCTTCAAAATAATCATGATGCTGCTAAGCGACAAAATATTTGAGTGAGTGAAATTAAAAAGTAGACAAATTTATGAATTTCTCACTTTATATCAGCACACATCAAAAATTCAATATATAAAATTTTGTCTAAAGATTTGATTATGTACAAAAAGAAATTAAATTTGAAATTACAGATTTCACCTGTTTGTCTAACTCTTATTATTTTACATAGTCAACAATAACAATGATTCAAGCATCTGCCCAAAGACGATTACACAGGAATGGATCTAACTTGCAGCTTGGTACATCTTTATCCAGTTATCCAATATTAAAACAACAAAAAATTTTTCCTTTCCATATTTTGTAACATGAATGAATTTTACTAAGAGAATAAAGGTCACTTTCTCATGTTTTCACTATTCACAGCCAATATGAGAAAACCTTTTGAATAATTCTTTCACATGACTGAAGTTTTGGAGGAAAGAAACAACTGATGCCACATATACCATTATGTGACAAGACCATCAGAAGAAAGACTAAAAGCAAGCAAAACTTACAAGGGGACAGCATGATGTTGGGTTTACAGATTTTGATGAAACTTGGTGAGGACATAGTGCATCTCCAACAAGTGACATGTGCCAAGCAGTAAGGTTTAACACTCAAAATTACGAGAGAAAATTAACGTTGAAAAATTGCACAAACACTTAAATCAAATATTCGTGTAAAGATGATAAGATATAAACAAAATTGTCTTATCTTTCCAAATAAATTATAAATACAGTAAATATTATGTATGAATCCCACATGTACATGAATATTCAAAAATAATTTTTAAATAAATGTAATAATTTTCACTTTATTCATGGTACAGGTAGCCCTCGGTTTACGCTGGCTCAATTTAAGCCGATTCACAATAATGCCGCTGCACAATTTGCCATTTCGGTGTAATTCCCCGATTTTCCCTATGCTAGACTGATTTTCATTACAGTGTTGATGTATTTACTGAGACATGACATTGTATATTCATTAAAACAAAGATTTTTATTGAATACATTTATTCTTTCTGTTTAATATTATTGGGTATGTATACATTTGCATTAAATTAATATTAAAATACTAAACGTTTAGGTACCCACGAGTCAAGTTATTAAACTTAATAGTCCAATAAATGGGGTCCGAATCCATAGCGCCAATAAATGTATCCCGTATCAGTTCATTCAGGAAAACACCTTACGACGCAGTAGCACTTCTGGCAATCACAAACTATCATTAGTGATACAAATCTACTTCTCGTTGGCCAGATGATATCTACTTCTTGTCAGTCAGACAATATCTATCTCTCCTTAGCCACCTTCAATTTTTCCCGCTCAAACTGACCTTATATATGCACTACGGCGACCGGTGGTCGACCAATCAGTGTCTCCGCTCGTCTATAGCTGTACGTTGGGTTAATGTATCCTTTCAACCATGGAAAGTTTGACCGATGAACTTTGTGATTAGACAATGATTGGGAGCAAAGTGCAAATGTAAAAAGGAGCATCATATTCGACCATATTCTGAAATTCTCAATGAAAGAAAACAAAAATGTAAACAATTAAAGATGGATCCTTTTTTNCTCTGTATCCTAGAGATCTGGCAATATGTAATATTCTATTAATTTCTTTTTGCCTATCCACCACACTACTGCAATAGAGAAAGGCCATTTTGTATTGGTACGGATCACTAGAGTGGGACGGAATGTACAAAGGGCTATGCATCGGTTTTACGTATACCTTAGTGGCCAAATGTCCTTCTTTGAATTCAATGTCAATATCCAAAAAATGTATCTGTGAGGCACATTTCTGTTCAATCTTCAGCATGAGGCCATCATTGTTGTTGATCTTGTTAATAAAGTCATTGATTTTTTTGGTCATTCTTCCAAACTACAAAAACATCGTCAACGTGTCATTTAAGAAAACAGAAAGAGCACTTTTTTCCAATTTTCTCAATACAAGCTCACATAACAGTCCTGACGTGGGACTTCCCATAGGGACTCCTCTTTTTTTGTCTGTACTGATGGCCGTTAAAGGTGAAAAAAGATTCATAACAAATAAGGTTAGCTAGTTCTATCAAATCATTATTGTAACATGCCAAATCTGGGTTCTTGCTGTGCTAACCTGCATGATTCAATTTTTATAAACGGGTATAAACTTTGATAGTCCATCACAGTTCCAATTTCATCGTCCATTAAAATTAGGTCTTGTATCTCATTAATCACCTCCCTTGGATCTTGTGCAAGGTGAGAAACTTATGTAATTTCTTTTCAAGAATAAACATTGGTCCTCTGCACCTTTCCACTATAGGTCTCATTTATTTACCCTCTTTATGGGTCTTGGCAAAAGCAAACAATTTTGGCATACTTGGCCTGGGATTCCGACAATTTTTGAGGAAAGGTGAGGCAAGGCATTAGCGAGCTTAGCTTTTTCAAGCTTCTTAACCCTTCTGTCGATGCTGTCAATAATCTTTGCTTCAACACTCTCGCATTTGGTTTTTTAATATAATCCTTCAATGTGTTATTATATGTCTGCCTTTTCATGATTACCAAAGTTTTGCTTTTGTCTACTCTTGTTGTAACCAAATCAGTTTTTCTAAGCCACCATTTAGTAAGTTTAATTTATTTACTGGCATCACATCCTTTTTTCCAAGTCATCTGGTCTTTTATGACAGTTTAACATTGGAGGTATTTTTTCTAAAGAATCTAGTCCATATATTTCTGGGACAAAGTTAGGTCCCCATTTTATTCTAGAGATTCGGAAGGGTTGCCTTCAGCCTGGAAATACTTAATCAAATGATTAGAGAGCTCTTAATTTAATGCCTTGATTTTAGCATTTTTGCATTTTATTGAATTTCATATAATGTATTATTAAATGTTTAATATTTAATTATCCTATACATATTTTGTTATTTATAAGAATAACTTTTATTTTATTTTTCTTTATACATTATATATATATATGTATATATATATAATGTCATTCGTTATTTTTATTTGTATTTAAATTTTTGTTCTATTTTATTTATATTCGAATATTCTTTGCCTGATGATGGCCAACAGATTTGGCTGAAAACATTTACATATCTAATGTTGTGAGATAGGAATAACTATTTAGGTGCGTGTGTTNTGCAGAATCGTATGTTGGGATTTTGGATCTACTTATTTTTTATATAATTATATGTATATTATAGATGTTAATATAGTTTATGTATGTTTGTCTTGTTTTCTTTATCGCTTAAGATATTTTTAAAATATGCTTTTATATGCTTTAAGATAGATAAGTTTCAAAATATCTATCCTGATCTTAAGATTGTGTGTTTGTCTTATTAACTGCAAAATAGTTTTTAAACGTTTGCAAATTTCCATTTCAAATTGATTATTACAATCTATACTAATATTATAAAGAGGTAAAGTTTGCAAGTTCGGATGTAGGAGGTAATCTCCGAAACTACTCGTCCGATTTCAAAAATTATTTCATCAATATTTAGAATAGACCTTCGGGGTGGACGTAGGCTGTATATTATTCTGTTAAACATTCATATAAATTAAAAGATATCATCTAGGTAAATGTTATATTTTTGGTGTCGGCAAGTGGCGAGAAGCAAGATGTTTACGTATACGAGATAGGTAACTGCGCGGTGTAGTCGCGTGGTCGGCTAGAAATGCAGTGCACGTTTAAGAACTTGTATATTATATAGATGTCGAAATTCCCCACTGCAAAGGAGAGGAACAAAATTAAGGATTACCGTGAAGAACTCGGCTTCTATTATACTATTTTGCGTTTTAATAGGGTATGTCGAGAATGTACACTAAGAAGGGATTTTTTGAAATTCCCTCTTGCGGGGAGTGTTATACATTTATAATAGATACATTTTGAGCCTCAGCAAGCGTGGCTGGGTACAGCTAGTACTAGTATAAAGCAAAGTTTGGAAATACTTAGATACTAATTAATGTAAGATGGTGCATAATATAATAACAGCTTTGTTAATAAATTATATCAAATTGAAAAGTATAAATGTTGCACATTTGAAAAATTTCTTTGCTGTATGTTATTCAAAAAATCAAAAAAGTCTTGTTAAGTTGAAGGTTATTAGGTAGAAAAGCTTGATCTCTAGTTAATGAGTTTAATACTCAATTTTCTCAAAATTTTCTATGGCCAGAAATTTCCATTATTGAGTCATTTCTCGTGAATCTGTTCACAGAATGATTAAAAATTTGTATACGGTTTATAGTGCCTTTTGAATGCTGGCGTCTCATTATGTCCTATTTAGAATGCTGATAACATACATCAATAAAAGGATGTCAACACAAGGTTGTAATGGTATGGTGTTGTGTTCTGCATGGAGCAGTAATGTTTATCTTAATTGTCTCTGTTCATACAGAATGTAAGAGAAAAAAAATCAAAATTACTTACTGGGATATCATCACAATTCCAGGCTGAAAGTTTTAATCATATTTTAATTTTACTAAAAATTTTGAATTGAAATCATGTGACTTCCAGTTTAGACTGGAAGTTTGTATATAACACAACCATGTATCTATAAACCTTTTACCAGTGTGCATTTCATCACACTCTACAATTACGTTACAAACATTTTCGAACCGTTACGGTTCTTCTTCAGGTAACAGTCTCCTAACGGAATGCGGTTTGATGATGTTAAGAAATACGATCCGGAACGATGTCCCCCCGATGATGTCACTATGGACTTGTGCATTATACATGTGTTCTATCCAAGAGATTTATCTAGTAGGGCCTCGATATCTAGATTTCGATATCGAGATTTATCTAGTAGGGCTGCCAGGTCGTCAATAGAGCGATTTCATCCTTGTAGTTAATGCAGTTACATTCTTTAAACGTGTTTAGGCATATGTAGATCGCCTCCAGCCATCTGAGATGGTTCGTGCGGTGGGTGGTGTGAATGACCTTTGCTTGAGAGAATATGGGTTCTGTTCTATGTTAGGATCTGACACGTATACGGCCAGAGCTGTGTTGGTTCTTTCATGGTTAATATTTGCTTTATGCTCTTTGATCCAGGTTACGAGGGGGACGTTTGGTTGATCTTATGTGGATCATGTTTCTATCACACCTGTGATCAATGATAGGGATAGTGTAGACACCGGGAAGCTTATTTTGGTCTGGGGTGTCTTTTCCATTTCATAACAAATCAAAAATCGTAGTGCATCTTCTAATTGTAATATGGATATTATTTTTCTTAGCTATCTCCTTGTATATGGATTTTAGCACCAGATTATATGTGATAGGGATGTTGCTACTTGGAATAACGTTGGAGAGTTGGTGACGGTTTGCTTCCTGCTGTATTTTTGTGTTCAGTTTATTTATGAGCCCATGGTATCCGTGCTGTTTGGCTATATCCTCTGTGTTTCATTTTGGACCGGAATGCTGTTTGGGAAGAAGAGTGTATACTATGTGCGATATCATCTACTAGTGCAGTAATGCACTAGTAGATGATATCAATGACAACCCGTATGGCTTAACTATAGAAGTAGACCAGGTACATCCTACAGAAGCTCACTTCCTGGACATTATGATGGAGAGAACAACTGTCCACATAGCGGTGTATCGCAAACCGAGCACAGATTGTTTATACATACCAGCTGGGTCTTGTGACCCTCCACAGTACAAAGTCGCAGCTTTCAAAGCTTTGATCAAGAGAGTGCATATGCACATGCATAACGTGCAAGTCTGTAGTGACGTCATCAGTTCGGGACATCGTTCTGGATCGTATTTCTTAACAATGTCGAACCGCATTCCATTAGGACACGGGTTCCCAATCTATGGGTCGCGACGGGTTTTCTGTAGGGTCGCCAACTTATACAGTAAACTAAAAAAAATATTCACTATAATGCAATTTTTATTTTTAATGGTGTCTTGAAGTTTGAATAATTTCATATATTTTTTTTAAATTAAAATAAGTGTAATCTAGGTATGCTATTCTGTCACAGTTGGTTGAAACATGTGTTGAGAGTTTGAGAGGAATAAATTAAATGTTGAGAATGACATGAGATTGGCGTTAACAAAAACTCACCCACGAATTTTGAAACGGGTTAATAACATGCAATTTCAACCATCGCATTAAATTATTAAACAACTTAAAATAAAATTATAGTAAAAAAACTAATTTCGTTGTTTTTTTAATTACCTTATTAAAAATGCGTTTTTCAATTGTATCGGGGTCGCGGGACACTTGGCTTTTATAAAAAGGGGTCGCCACTCGAAAAAGGTTGGGAACCATTGGAATAGAGCCTTAGCCATCAATAAGAACTGTTATTTCACTTAAGTAATGAATTGATACAATCACATCAATGCAGTTTTGTTATTTAGAATAGAATACTTTATTAATAAAAATAAATCTTTATAGGCACTTCACATAAATTTCATTATATTAAAGTAAAACAAACAAACAAACAAAAAAAAGCTTCTTATCATGAAATAGATAAAACATTAGTTCAGTTTCTACTTATGGATTTAAATGATGATCTAATATTAAATTCTACGTTGTAATTATTCATAGATAACAATTATCTTTTTTCTTGATATGTATGATTTATAAAAATTAAAAGAAAACTTCCTAAACATTATTAAATAACACAAATATAATCTAAGCATTCATTCAATTGAAGTGATTCATCAGATCAGGAGTCACAGCAGTGACTCCCTGCCAAGTAATAAAGTCACCAACTATATATACAGGAATCCCAGTTGCCGATTTTTGGAGGTCTATTTCTCTGCCCCCAAACACCTGAAGTAATTCTGAATATCTTGTTCAAAAGAAAATTATTTTCCTTGGTAGTGTGCAAAATTTCAAGATTTTCTGTAATGCAGTTGCCGAAATATAAGCAATTGAAAAGTACAAAAAAATTGCCAAAAAAAAGCTGTATTTTCTTCATCTCGCACAGCAGACACTTGTAGGGGAAAAAATTACTGGGTCTAGGAAGCTCAAATTTTAAACTTAAGCATTTCTCATTATCAGTGAGGTGCTGGCAAAACTTCTGGGTCAATAGGTCAAAGTTCACAGGGGTTTTCCCCATAGAGCAAATTCAGTTTTACAGCTTAATTTTATGCTTATAAAATTGCATGAAAACAAATAAATTTTATTCAAAATGTTTTTCAGGATTACTGAAAAGCTCAAATTTATGTGAATTAAAACATCTTATAATGATTTTTCTAAACAGTGTATCAAAAGCATTGGTCAGCAGTGACAACTGAAATGAATATTGAAAGCATTCTGTTGGAGCACGTTCAGTTGCAGAGCACCGAATGAATTGGTCATCATCAACTTATGTCTTAATATAATAATAAAAAAAATTAAACACATACAGTATATAACACTTAAACAACTGAGATGTAAAAAAAGTTACGCCAAGTAAAAATTCGACAATTTAGACAACAGTCAAAATTTCTCTGTTTTCCTTTGGTAAAGATAAGCTTGGTGCTTGGAAGCGGTACCCACAAGATTTTTACCTGCATTATTATTTTCTACATTTTTCCTCCAAGCTTGTCTTTACCAAAGGAAAACTCCTAAGAAAAATTTTGACTGTTGTCTAAATTGTCAAATTTTTGCTTGGCATAATTTTTTTTACATTTCTTTATTTTTATTTGTTTGGATTCTCTTATACAATTTTTATAATATAAAACAGAAATATATTCACTTAACTTTCAATATTAGAAATTATTGTTTAAATTTCATTAAATGAACAACTATGAAGCTTAGAATCTATAAATTATTTATATCTTGTATAAATTTTCTTGAAATCTACTATATATACAGTGAAAACCTGTTAGGTTAGACTGGAGTTTGAAGATTGTTCAAATTTGCAAAGATGTGTGATCTTTTAAATGAATATACAGTAATACATAATTAAAAATTGGTCCATTTACATGGGTTTTATTATGACTAAAGCCTATAGTAAAGCAGAATTCCTCAAAATATAGCTCAAATAGTAGTTAGTAGACTATAAACCCCTACAAATATCTCAATCTGCTAATTGTAGCCCAATCTTGCAATTTTGCAGCCCAGCTGTATTTTAAGAGATAAGAGAAAAAAGGGTAGTCCATGGGTAAGGTGACACCCAAAAATGTTTTATGGTAAAGGCAAAGCCATATTGACCAGATAAAAGTTGTTCTTGGTTTATTATTCTTTTATAGTATGAAGGCACTTCAATTTAAACAAATTAATTAATGTACAGTACACATATCATAGTTTGGGCAGAATTTTCGCTACAAATTTTGAAGTAGCCATATTTTGAACTAACCAAATTCCTTAACATGTAAATCTCTATATCCGCAGCTAGGACGAATAGTAGTTATGAACTAATGGGTAGTGAGATTTTGAACTATCAGAGTTTGAATTAATGAGGGATTTCATATATATATATATATATGCATGACTCTTTCAACTGAAATATGGTGGTGTGCCATACTAGTGGATAGCATAAAAAGTATTGACAACCAGTACATAACACCAGCAATTGCTCAGTAAGAAATATTCTGTATGCTTAGATAAAAATCTGGTGACTGGCACAATAAAAATAAACAAAATGAATTAACCATTCTATTGACCACAATGAATGCCATGGGCCAATTGAAGCTGACATAAAAAGCATGGGACCCACCTTTCATCAGATACCATCTTTTAATGAAATGACAATAGTGTCTGGTAATTGTTACCACTATGTTCTTGTAACAAATAATTAATAGTATTAAACACTGTTTTTTAGTTATTGTTATATTTTTCCTAAAACAGAACTATTTTTAGTCACTGATTAATTATGCATAATGGCAATATTATTTTTAGAAAAAGAAATTTGTATATATGTATATTGCCAATTGGATGGACAAGGAAGTTAAGGCATCAGCCTACGACTCTGGGATCATAAATCGAATCCAGGTCGTGATGAGCATTAGCCCAATATGGCTTATACGGGAATCATCACGACGACCTTACAGCCCCAAATTATGTTACAAAATGCACATTTCAGGTTATTATGGACAAGGTGTCAGTTTGCATAGGCCATTCCACACTGGTTCATGTCTGAATCAGGGTCAATCATCATAAAATTTCAGGTATTAATAATAGACATGTTACCACAAATCAGACATCTATTTGTAGCAGACAGCTTACAGCCAGAATTGGAACAAGACTTTTGATTTTAAATTTAATACAATATACAAATAGCTAGTGCTTGTATTTTGTTTATTAATTTATTTTTCCAAGTGAAATAAAACATATAACTAAAATAAGAAATGATTACCGCACAACTAGTCCATCAGAAAATTCCCACTTTCGAGCAATTCGATATGTCGTGCTTTGAATGTAGCAAAATGGTATAGTATCAAAACAACTCATTGTATATTACCGGTTCAGCCAGACTACAAATAAGACAAAATGATACAAACAAAGACCAGTGTTATTTGCATCAGTGACGTAGGCACAGTGATATGGCGCTGCTCGTACTCAGCCAGGGAGACTGCGGACAAAAGAAGCTGCTTAATTACAATTTAATTTTTTTAAAAACTTCTGTCCAACTTAGCAAATGTCTACTGTATTTAAAAATTTGTCTTATAGACATATAGTAAATGCATCAGGCTATAACTCTAGGATTGTAATCAGAGTTATAGTCTGAGTCTATTGTAATTAGAGTAAATTGAGTCCAGTTCTGATCCTCAGGATCTTCATTCAGTTCTATTGGGCCCTCATTACCCAAATGCCCATTGAATTCATTATGCACGTGGAAAAAGGATCTCTCAATACTTATAGGAGCATAAAGAGGAATAACTGAAGTTTGTGAGGTTAAAAACATTTTAAAAAATAATTAATTTCTGCTCATACTTGTATTATGCAATATTTTTGTATGATTACATCATAACTCTGTCAAATTAACGACAACAGCGTGTAAAATTCCCATTTTATACTCAACTTCTTACTAATTTATACTTAATTTTAAAATAAGTTTATAAAAATCTATAAAATAATCGAATGACTTACTCATGCACACGTGATAAATTCAAAAATGAAATTGACTATTCTAGAACAATACAACGAAATAAATAATACCAATTGCCGGATTGATTTAAAGTCGCCAAAATATATAGCCAAAAATCCGCCTGTTTAATATTTACCAAATTGCAATGAGTGTTTAATTTTAAATATTTTTTGAAAAATATTAAATAATAATTTTTACTTTCGTGTTAGAAATATTATTTTCGTATCCGTTGTTCATAATTGTAGAAAAATTATGTAGTAGATTTAAACAATGTCTGCCAAAATTAAAATTTTTTTCTTCGTGCCTTCACATATACGTAATGTAACGGGAGTCTTGCATCTATAAAATCATGTAATGGGTAAGACTAGGGCAGTCCTAGAAGAAATTTAATTTTGATATCCATTAAAACAGCGATAGAGGTAAAGGGTAGATGTGTTTTAAGTCTACAGTATGGAGTGCCTAGCGGTCAAGGTAGCAGCCTACCTCTCTGGGGGACCCGGGATAGAATCCGGACGAGTGGAAAAATTACCAGAAATTTTTCGGGGGGTGGTCCGTCCGGATATGTCGGGCCCCGTCCCTCACCACCCGACCGCTCCATTGTGGGCCTGGGCGAATCCATAATGGGCTTGCTAAAAGAGGCCACTTTTAGTGTCCATAGGGCGGAAAGAGTTAAATATTAAAATTTGAGTGGCCCCTTAAGCGAGAGGCCCTATGTAAGGTCACCGCTGGATAAGATCTTTCATACGTTAGCCAATTAATTAGAGGATATGGATCCTCGTAACTTTTTTACTCAACTAGTTACTGTTATAATTAATAATAAACAGATCTGACAGTTAAATTACAAGGAAAAAGACTATGTAAATAACATAATAAATTTTTGTGGAGTAATATAACGGTTATGCTATACTGAAGAAATACAATATGCCTTTGTTTTCACGTGACAACAATATCTATTATACGACACAACGTGTTCATTCGATATGTTTCAATGCGAAAGTCCACACCTTTATTTTCTGGCATTTGTTGGGTTCATCTTTACTTTACTAATTTTAATCCATTCTTTCAGCGTCTTCATAAGAGGATTAAAACTCTACGTTTTCTCCAAATTCTTCCCTCCAAATGTTAATAAATATGGAGTTTGGGCAGTGATCACGGGTTCCACAGACGGAATTGGAAAGTCCTACGCCAAAGAACTAGCAAGAAGAGGAATGAACATCGTTTTGGTGAGTAGAAACTTGGAAAAATTAAGAATAACTGCGGATGAAATGGAAAAGGAATTTAAAGTTTGCGTACAAGTTATTCAGGCGGATTTCACGGAAGGTTGGACACTATACGAAAGAATAAAGAGTGAGTTAATGTCGAAGAATATAGGTATATTAATCAACAATGTGGGATTAATGGCGCCTCAACCATGTCAATTTTTGTCATTAAGTCAACGAAATATACTTGATATAATTCACGTTAATATCACTTCCGTGTTGTTAATGACCAGCGCAATTTTACCGAAAATGTTGGAAAGAAAACGTGGTGCCATTGTAAACATGTCCAGTCTCATAGCTTTGTATAATATACCACTGTTCAGCTGTTACGGTGCGTGTAAATCCGCTGGTAATTCGATCGGTTTAGCTCTTACGTACGAAGATTTAACAGGAATCAACTTTCAAACTCTCATCCTTTCTTGCGTTACTACAAATTTATTAGATTACAGCAACAAGATATGGAAATGGTTATCATTCTTCGCTCCTAATGCAGATTCGTATGTAAAAAGTGCCATCAATACACTAGGAAGATCTAATCATACGACTGGATACTTTGGCCATTCTTTGCAAATCTCTTTCAAGATTTTTCCCGAAACTGTTCAAAAATATTCATTATATTGGATATGTTCCTATTTGTTTAAAAGAAAAGAAAATCGAACTTGTCAGTAATATCATTATGTAAATTCTCGTATAATACAAGTTTATAAAAGATTATATTAATGTGTAATGTTATTTCAGCCAAACCTGTGAACAACGGACACTAACAATGATGGTTATTTAGAGATTATTCTTTGTATTATTAATTATTACGTGTTACAGGCAATAAAAACAATAGGAAATTTTGAATTTTATATTTATGTAAACACATAAATATAAAATTCAAAATTTCCTATTGTTTTTTTATTGCTTGTAACACGTATAAATATAAAATATATTGTATTATCCATTACATTTGTATGTTTGCTTATAAAATATTATTATATTGTATATAAAAAATAATAATAATACACTTCCTTTAACTTTGATAAGTAAAAGGAAATTGTTACTTACGTCCGAAGTTTTTCCGATAAATTTCTAGTAATTTTATAATTTACGAAGTCATTTTAAGATATAAGAGCTTAATAGACAGAAGCCATGAAAAACGTGGAATTATTATTATGTCTTCTAGCAATAATATGGGGAGTTGAAGCATTTACCAAAGAAGAATTTCAAAATTTTGTTTGCTGTAAATTACATTCATTACACTTTTATAGTTTTAATATTTGACTTATTCATAATTAACTGTATTATAATAGCCTTTCCGGATGAATATTCTCACAGACTTATCAATTGTACAATGAGAAGAAGTAGCACTTATGTGCAAAAGGTGAGTCTTATCAAGTACAGTAGAAACCTGTGTAAACCGGAATGTATCGAATATTTTTTCCATTTAGGCAGGTTTCGTTTTAGATATGTTTTACTGTAAATATGTACAGTAGAATATTTCTCAGAATTAATTTAAATTTTGCATACAATTCTTCCATTCAGACTGGTGAACTCTTAGATCGATGTGTTGACAAGTTCTACGAAACCGAAAGTCAAGCAGAATCGTTTTTATTGTTTCTATGCCAGGATGAAGTGTTCGACAGTGAAGATGTAAGAAATTTTACTTATATAATCGTTTATAAATATGCTAAATTATTAATTATATTGTTGTTTATTGATTAAAATTAATTATGCGTTATTTGCTAATAAAATTTACAATATGCCATGTATTAACACGATTTAAATGAAATTTCAGGTAACCTATTGCCTCCAGGAAGGAGCAGAAGTAAGTGAATATTCATATGAATAAACTTTTATTATTATTTAATATTTTTCTGGTGGATAAAACTCCATTGTTGAAGCGTGTATATGGTAAGAAATGAAGCTCAATTTCTCCCCTTCCTCCCTTCAAGTGTAGACGTTATTTATGGACCTTACCCCATTATAAACGCTTTGGTTTGGACCATACCAATGGGCTGGTCACGTGTAGTTCTATAGGTTTTCTTCACGTTTGTAACATCTAAATAAGAACCCATAGAAAGTCTTTCCTGAAGGAAAACCTCCCATATGCCACGTTGCCATATACAAACACAATAAATAATATTTTTCTTTAAAATTTATAATAATAATTATTTATTTATTTATTTATTTTGTTCTCTTAGGACGTGGACGATCCTAATGAGGAAGACTTGGAAATTTTTATTAATGCTGCAAGACATTGTTTGATTTTTGGATAAATTATCCAAAAAAACCTTGTTAAATTTCCTATGAAGTGCACTTCATTTTACTCTTTTAAATAATTAAAATGAATTTATGCATTAAATCTTTGTGATATTTATTCGAGTTGTAGTATTAAGTTTCATTAATATTATAAAGAAATTTTAAAATATTATCGCTAACAATACCATTCAATTCCTCACCACTAACAGTGCTACATGGTCTTGGGTTCCTGTCTTAGGGTTTTCTGCTTTTCCTAACGCGTGTAATATCTAAATAGGGGCCAGGTTTTAATTGAAGATCTTTTATTGAAAACCCTAAACCCAAAAAGAAAGCAAAAAAATGGGAGTGGTAAAATTCTAGAGGGTGATGTGCGAATGTTTTATTCAATATCTCAGGATAGAGTAAAAATAAAGAAATGAAATTTATAAGACTTGATAGAGAAGATTTTTAATCAATATTTTAGAATATTTACAGCACCCTCCTAGTACCACTCGGATTAAATTAAACTAACTGCTTGGACCAATTTGAGTTTGTTGAATGGTTAGTGTTCTATCAAGGACTGGTGTCAGGATCCTGACGTAAGAGATGGAGATCTTTATTGTCCTCAGCCTCCTTCTTATCTTTAAACTATCCTTTTTGATTATAATGGAATGGACGTGATCTCACCGCCCCGATCTGACATTTAGTATCAGGAGTTTGGGTGTTTATCCCATCTCCTCACCTGCGCTTTTCACACAGTTTCCATCCGGCAAAAAAGAGTTTAACTATTATTCAAAGAGGGTGAACAAAACCGTTCCTTCCACATACACTAACATCCATACATCCTTGTTTGGTTTGGTTTCTTCATAAACCGCAACGCAACACCTCCGGGGAGATCTTTCATGGGAAACTGGTCATATTTAGGTGTTATTAACGTAAAGAAAACTCGGAAAAATCCAGCCCGTTGGCTAAGCTCCAAACCATAACCAGTGTTCAGTGATTTTAGTCCCCTGATCATTAATGGGCTCCGATGATTTTGACTATCTCACTTTACCGTATCAATCACTCGTAATGTAAAGTGGCAAGTATTAATTTGATATTCAATATTTGAAATTTGATAATGAAATTTTCAAGAAACTTCTAATTAAAAAAATCCGTTCCCATTTCATAATATAACAGCTCTACATAATTGTTTTTATTAGCAACTAAAGAAGGAGACCATCTTTGATTTAAAACATACGCAAACATGTCCAATATATTGAATAATTTCGTAAAATTATGAGGAAAAATTCGATAGAGATCTGCAAAGAATGGCCANACACCAGAGCCAAAATAAACTTCTGTTGGAAGAAGACACTAAAACGACACTTTAACATACAAACTCGCATTGCGGATATTTTCCACACTTAACTAAACATTATCTGATCTTTACCCAAACATACAAACGTCCGTCATTATGATAATTATTTTTTTTACATTCATTTTCACGTGAAGAATTACCGATGATCCCGGTTTGGTTTGGTTTCTTCGTATACCGCAACGCAACACTTCCGGGGAGATCTTTCATGAGAAACTGGTCCCTATTTAGGTGTTACTAACGTGAATTAAACCCGGAACCCTTTGGCCAAGCTCGAACCCATGATCATAGTTCAATGGTTTTAGCTCCCTGATCATTGATGGGCTCTGATGATCCCGACTAGACTAGCTTATTTACCGTATCAATCACTTGAAATACAAAGTAGCCAGTATCCATTTCATATTAAATACAAGTCGACCCCCCTATAACACTGTTGATAATTCCGTTTTATATGAATTTCATGTTGTACGAGTCACTTAGATTTTACAAATACGCGTGCCGGGCTGTGAACGGCTTACGTATTTGTAAAATCTAAGTGACTCGTACAGCATGGAATTTATATAAAACGGAATTATCAACAGTGTTATAGGGGGGGTCGACTGTATTTGAAATTTGCTAATGAAATTTTCAAGAAACTTCTAATTAAGAAAATCCGTTCCCATTTAATAATATAACAGCTCTACATAATTGTTTTTATTAGCAACTAAAGAAGGAGACCATCTTTGATTTAAAACATACGCAAACATGTCCAATATATTGAATAATTTCGTAAAATTCTGGGGAAAAATTCGAAAGAGATCTGCAAAGAATGGCCAATGGATCTTTCTAGTGTATTGATGGCACTTTTTCCATACGAATCTGCATTAGGAGCGAAGAAAGATAACCGGTTCCATACTTTGCTGCTGTAATCTAACAAATGTGTAGTAATACAAGAAAGGATGAGAGTTTGAAAGACGATTTAATTGTTAAATTTTCCTAAGCAAGAGCCGAACAAATTTATTAACTAGTAGATTTACATGTACCGTAACAGCTAATAAGGGCATCTTGCTCAAGGTTATTATACTGGGCATGTTCACTCTTTTTTTGCCAATTCTTTGGCGTTGGACTTTCCAATTCCGTCTGTGAAGTTCGCGACCACTGACCAAAGATTAATTAAAACAAATGTACTCTCTCACCCGAGTCGGATTCGGGCAATTAATTAATTAAAAGGGTTTCGCAGGTTTTCTTAACGTATTTAACAATTATGGAAAACGAACCCCTATTTGTATTGTGAAAAACAATTATTTCTTTTATGACGCAAGTCAAAGACATTAATTGACATGTATTGCAACAGAGATTCAATAAAAAACTTTACAGAAGAATAAATTATTAAAAAAAAAACAATAAAGACATTAGTCGTATACAAAGGTTTTTATAAATTATCACCAGCTATCATTAAATATATTCACATCCTTCCTCCTTTCATATCGCAGAATTTCACATTAATAACGCATTTAGTTCTCAATTATGCTCCATTGTATGACACCAACAGTTTATTTCTTCGCAGCCGTCGGAGTAGCTTTTATAATTTTCATATTCGTCTACTCGTTCTACGTCTTGGTGCTTGGTGCGAAGCTCTTCGTCTTCTCCAAATTCCTGTCGATTGATATCAAGAAGTACGGAAATTGGGCAGTCGTCACCGGTTCCACCGACGGAATAGGAAAGTTTTACGCTAAAGAATTGGCCAGAAGAGGCTTAAATATTATTCTGGTCAGTAGAAATGCGGAAAAACTACAAAAGACCGCCGAAGATCTGCAAAGATTTTGGATTACAGCAACGAAATGTGAAATCGACTGTCGTTTAAAACAATGATACTTTAAATCCTAAAGGTAAAGATAAACGATAGATAATTCTGTTGATTGTGTCAGTAAAAGTACTACCTTTAACAGAAGATAAATATAAGGTTTAATAGAATAATAAATTATATTAACAATCCAGATAATTATACAAATATTATAATTACAATTCCTCCTCTTTACACTGGCAATAATATTAATACAATAACGCGTATGAGTAAATGTAGGTGAATTTAAAGGAATGCCACAGAGTTAGTGTTTGCGTTAGATTAAGTATAGGAGGAAAGAATTGTAAATTAAAATAATTATTAATATTTCACTAAATACATTGGATTTTATAAATTAAAGAAATAACAAAAGATAAGTTAAATATTTTGTTAAAAATAAAAAAGAAAAACATTTTTATTGGTTGTTTTTCAAGATGGAGTAGTAGACGGTGAGGATTACTGCATCTATGTATGTCATACTGTACATTTACACACACACAAGATTAAATTTTACATTTGGCTATATTTATCGGGTTTCGGAGTTGAGAGAACCGTGGGAGAACGGTGGTTCCACTGCCTAATCATTTAGATCATTAAAATGCAATGTCAGAGAACTGCATCCTCAATGTTTCAGTCTTCTATCTTAAAGCTCAAACACATAGCCACGATCTGATCTGTCTTAGTTGCGGCTACAAGTACGATGATGTGAATTTACTAAACCGAAATTTTGGATTTTTAAAAGTAATTTAAATCACAGTAAACGTTAATTGATATCGGCTTTATTGTGTATTTGAAGAATATGCATTTCGGATTTTGATGACCCCTCTTCAGTCTTTCTTTATTTATCTTGGAGGTGGATCCACCCCTCACCATCCTATCAACCCCGAAACCCGATAAACGCATTATATTAACGTCACTATAATGCATTTACACACGCACAAGATTAAATTTTACACACGTGCAAGACGTCACTATATATAAAAACCAGTGTATGTAATTTAGTTAAATATTAATAATTATTCTTATTCACAATTCTTTCCTTCTATACTTAATCTAACGCAAACACTAACTCTGTGGCATTCCTTTAAATTCACCTACATTTACTCATACACGTTATTGTATTAATATAATTGCCAGTGTAAACAGGAGGAATTGTAATTATAATATTTGTATAATTATCTGGATTGCTAATTAATATAATTTATTATTCTATTAAACCTTATATTTATCTTCTGTTAAAAGTAATACTTTACTGATAGACAATTAATAGAATTTTCTATCGTTAATCTTTATTGTAATATTGAAAAACGTTTCATACATACAAGTCTTTATATCTGCCTTATAATTTAATTAATTTTACTTTAAAATTACATATTTTACGTACAGAACGGACTTAAAATACATGTTTTACAGAGGAAAAATCTTAACACAAAAATATTTCGTATTAACGAAAAGCATTGATATCTCGAAACTTTAATAAGGATATTCTATATACAGTACATAAAAATGAATGTGTGTGTGTGTGTGTGTGTGTGTGTGTGTCCTTCATGCATTACCACATCGTTTATCCGATTGCCGCGAAACTTTGAGAAGTTGTTTAATACACTCCCGCGAAGGTTTCTGGCATTTACCCTACGATAGATGACGCGCGTTTACACGAGCATTCGAGCACTGTGTGTTCGATCGATTTCAAATTGTGAAGACCATTTCCCCTCTCCAAAAAAATATCTCTATATATGCATTTATTATTTACGATATTTGTAATAATTTTTGTTTAATCACTTTATTTCAACTTTTTTTTTGCTAATTACGTAATCGCTCGAATTTTCTTAAAGCCTTAACTGTATTATGAACAACAACCGAAGTCGTAGGAAGAAATTCGCCTATTTTACCGATCTAGGGATCCCCCTTTTCCAAATTTTAATATCAACTCAAAATAATTTAA